TCTCCATATCTTTGCAAATAATGATTATAATATAAACATTTCTAAGCAGCAAAATATATTTTAGGTATTATTTGTCCTAACCATATCAAATATGTGCATAGATATTCAATAGCAGCAAGTGATAAGCGTGTTGTGCTCAAGAGCCACGTACAGCGAAATGCAAAAGCAAATAATATGCCATATTTATTTTGTAAAACTCTCAAGTTACACAAACAAAGCAGCGTAGAAAATTACCCTTACGCTCATTGGTCCTTAAAACGATCGTTCCTTCAACAAGGGTTGTTCTACGCAGGCGCAAAGGTATAAATAGTCAGCGTGGCAAGGAGCAGAACATCATTCGTAGTCTTGCACACAAGCGAGCAACTTAACTCCAAAGTCAAACAGCAAGTTAAATTCTTTTCTAAAAACGTAAAACCGAAATCAACGCATCAATAAAAATGTCTTACGCTAAACTCGTGAACACTTGCAACGCCAGCACTTTGGCTGAGCAAAGCATCAACAAACCTAACTACACACCAGGCAAGGCGCTGAAGAAGGCATTCAAGTTACTAAAAAGCGTTTTCAAGTCAACAACAGTCAGCAAAGCAGATAACAACAACAACGTAAAGCAGCAAATCACAGACACAAAACCACAAGCGACAACTGATGTGCCTCAAGCAGTAACCGAGCAGCAGCAACAGACCCACGAAGACGAAGCATCCACACTCAACGTTAGCATACTAACCACTTGTTCAACACTCAGCGCAGAGGAGTCCGAGAACGAATTAAACGAGTTAGCTGAGTTGGCGACTATAAACCAATCGATCACTGATGAGTAAACCGCTGAAGTTGGTTACGACGCTGAACTGATATTCGTGGATGTTGCTGCATTCTTTTAGCAAGCCGCTGGTTCCTTCTAGGACCTGGTGCGTCCTTAAACCGCACCGCTTACAATTTCACAACGAACGCTTTATATTCTCGGAGCTTTAATAGTTTATGTATAGCCAAGCGTATATATGTATGTGTGTGATGCAGTCGAACTGCCAAGCTTTGTTCTCGATGTGCCCTCGCCCTTAATTGTTCTACATAACCACTAACACATATGTGTTTAACTCTTTGTGAGTGGATGTGTAGACTGGCTATTAACATAATATCGATGAACCACTGAAAGCTTTAATTGTATTTTATCATTTGTCTTCCAAATAGTTTTAAGTCAGTATAAGAGAACATGTATTTTTTCTGATAATTTTTTATAAACAATTTTTTTATAAAACTGAAATTTGTTGCTTGTTTCTTTGCTCTTTGGTATAATCTTCAGTTTTTACATCTTGTTGCAACGCCTTTAGAGGTTTTAGGTTAAATCAGTTACAATGAGAAAATTATATGAAAATTCGGGATGTCTGTCTTTGAGTTTTGATTTCAGATTATTTTCGCTATCCACTGACAGCAAATGTATGAAAACTTCTACTTAGCGTTTGCTTCAAATATACTTTTTTGTCGTAAAAATATATTTTTTTAAATAAGTATCGCATGTCCTTTCTAATACCATTTGAAAGACGTGTACAAAGTTCCACAATAAACGGTTAAGAGATTTCGGCTTGAAAGCGTTACAAACAAACTTTTGTACATTTACATTTATAATATAATATTAGTAGGGATAAGTTATTATATAGGAGGAATATAAAAGTCGGTGCCTTGTTCATGAATTGTATAAACAAATTTGTTGCTTACTATGAAGATTGTGGTTTATACTTAATCTTTCTAATGACGATCTTTACAATTTTGTTAACGATTTCTTTCAGTAACCCTGAAGAGAAACTTCTTTACTAATACTTGTGTTTCTCCATAGCCAAGTAGACTCATTTCAGTCTTCCAAAACTGACAAATTTCATATTTCATATTTCATACTTCGTACTTTTATGGGATAGTAGATAGAAATATAAACTCATTTCTAAACATAACGAATTGTCAGGACATATTGCCAAGTTGTTTAAACATAGTTGCTTTGAACTCATTTAACAAATTAAAAAACATATAACCTTCATGTTTCTTTACGTCTAATTTCAAATAATATAAGGTAAATATAAGGAAAGGTAAAAGGTAATTAAACTGTTACAAGGCGCTCTCAGCTGTACGGTTATAAAAATTAAGAATGTTATATACCAAAATATCTGTCCAATATATCCAAACAAAAATTCCATTTTAAAAATATTTTCCGAAATTTCTAACCTCAAAAATATTACTCAAAACAAACAATTCCATTTTATACAAAACTAAATATTATTATTTTCCTAAAATATTAAAAAAAAAATGGTACTTAAAAACTACTTGGAACAAAAAGTGATGCTTAAACTAATTATAAAAATTAAAATATGTATAATTCATCGTCAACACGCACGCAGAAAAATTATTGGCGCGATGGCGTCGACGATGGAGCTGTTTGGCAGTTCGACTGCATCACACACGTACATGAAAACTGTTAAAGCTCCCATCTCCCATCGTAATGTATGCGATGTGGTTTAAGGACGTACCAAGTCCTAGAAGGCACCCGCGGTTTGCCGGTAGGATGCGGAATATCAGTTAAACATCGTGGCGATTGTCGACAGATCACACGGCAGCGATCGATTTGACTCGACTCTTGGCACTGCTGCTTAGTTACCGTTGGCCTTGCTGCTGTGATCTACTGCCTTGTATTGTTGTTGTTATCTACCATACTAACCGTTCTGGACTTGAACATAATTTTTAATAAAAAGAAAGCCCTCTTTAGCGCATTGCCTGCTGTGTAGTTTGGTTGGTTGACGTTATGCTCAGCCCAAGTGCTGGCGTTGCAAGCGTTCATGATCGCGCCGTAAGACATATTTGTTGTGTTATTTTTGGTTGTGCGATTTCACAAAACTGTATAATTTCGCTGATGATAACGTTCTATTTAGCTCTATAGTTAAGTTATTCGCTCGATTGCAAGGATACGAATGACGTTCTGCTCCTTGCCACGCTGGCTACTTATACCTCTGCGCATGCGTAAAACAACCCCTCTGTTTTTGCATGAGTGTGCGGACTAATGCAGGCTCATATTTTTTCTATGCCTGCAAATATTTTATTGTTATTGCAGTTTTAGTACTGAGGTATTGTTTTGCATAACTTTTCTGGGTGTTTGCTGCACTTCGCTACTATCAAGGCTACAAACTTTCTCAATATATATAAACTAAAGCGAAAAATTCCAATGTTTACAAACTAAAAACCATACAAAATCATTTAAAAAATTTTAACCTAAAAAATATAATTCAAAACAGATTTCTTTTTATACAAAAATATATTTTATTATATCAGAAAAACATTTAAAAAATCGTACTTAAAAACTATTTGGAAGACAAATGATTCTTAAACTAAAAATAAAAATTAAAGCTTTTTCACATCGTCGACATTTTCAAAAATGCCAGTCCACGGCGTGCTACGTCCAAAAAGCAACGATGCAACACGCACGCAGAACAATTAAGGGCGGGATGGTGTCGACGTTCTAGAGGGGCAGTTCGACTGCATCACACACGTACATATAAACTATTAAAGCTCTCCTATTGTAATCTAAGCGGTGTGTTTTAAAGACGTACCAAGTCCTAGAAGGCACCAGCGGCTTGCCAGTAGGACGCTTTATGTAGAGCATCTCTGAATATCAATTACGTTATGCTGCGATCATTAGCGGACTACTCGATCGATTTGCTTTTTCCTGCCAACTCAGCTAACTCGTTCAGTTCATTCTCGTACTCCTCAGCGCTGAGTGTTGAGCAAGTGGTTAGTATGCTGGCTTTGAGTGTGGATGCTTCGTCTTCATAGCACTGCTGCTGCGGCTCTGTTACGGGTTGAGGCATCGCAGTTACTGTTTGCGGCTTTGTGTCTGTGATTTGCTGCTTTACGTTGTTGTTAGTATCTACCTTACTAATTGTTGTTGGTTTGAAGACGCGTTTCAATAACTTGAATGCCTTTTTCAGCGCCTTGCCTGGTGTGTAGTTAGGTTTGTTGATGGCTTGCTCGGCCAAAGTGCTGGCGTTGCAAGTGTTCACGAGTTTAGCGTAAGACATTTTTATTGTGGCGTAAGTTATTCGTTCAGTTGTAAGGCTACGAATGACATTCTGCTCCTTACCACGCTGGCTATTTATACCTTTGCGCATGCGTAAAACAACCCCTATATTTTTGAGTTGCAAGGAGCACAAGTGTGCGGACCAATGAGCGCGCGGGCTGTTTTTTTTTATAGGTACATCAATTTAATTGTTATTGTCATTTGAGCACTAGACTTTATATTTCTTTCGTATGAGTATATAAGACTTTTCAATCGTGCTATATACCTTGGTATATGATTGGCTGTACACACATACAAAGTGAATGTTACTAATATTGTTTACAATTTTGTATCGAAGTCAAAGTCCTATTAAAATATCATATATAATATTAAAATATATTTGAATATTTGGTTTATTTTGTCGCTCGAGAGCTTAAATATTACCTGAAGAAAAATTTTTAGAGAAATTTGCTTTTAGTATGACTGCCCTCAAAGTAGATGAATTATTGTAGATCCCTGAAGAAATGAAAAAGTGCTTAAAGCATATTCATCAGTAGTTAAAAAGTTGTCAGAAAGTTGTCGTTAACTGAAAAACTTATCCAACTTACAAGGAAAAATGATATTATTTGAGGGGATCAAAAACAAAATCATTGTCTGAAGTAGCACTCATAAGTCGATCGCTTAAATACCGGTTTTATGAACAGAGTTAGCAAGACTTATAGATAAATATTTGTTATTAAATAATATAATAACCAATATACACTACATTGTCTAGAAAACTCAAAACAAAAACTTCCAACGTTTCAGAAGTCACCGATTTTCAAAATGAATACATGAATACTACATGATCGCTCATGATGAAAGGATGGCTACTAAGAAACGATAAGTGTCTGATTACCCAAGACGAAAATAACGTAATTTATAAGTATTCTTAAAAATAAGGCAATAAATATTCTTAATGCCCATTTTTTCATTAGTTATTTATTAACATTACAATAGTACAGGACAAATAAAGAAAAGGTAAATTCCCTGAAAGCACTGAAGGCCCCCAGTGTCCAGCCAAGGCTTATGACAAGTGTATGGAAATTTGAATTTACAAAAACAAATTGACTATAAGTACCAACGCGAAAACAAAAAAATATTCTCGAAACAAACTGAGCAAAGAAAAGTAAAAAATATTTCTTTTGTTGGCAAGACATTTTATTATTCCTCTTAAAAGTACAAATCTAATTACTTAAAAGCTAAATGGAAGACATTCGATCAATTTTGAACATAAACTAATTGGAAGACACATGATTAAAATTAAAAGTTTAAAATTAAAGCTGCACATCGCCAACGCTTACGCAGTAGGCCAGCCCACGCTTGGTTCACGCCCAATAGAGGATGAAACTCGCACGCAGGACGATTAAGGGCACAAAATTGCATCGACGATAATTTGCTGGCAGTTCAACTGCATCACAAACGCACAAACGCTTGGCAATGTATATTTATAAACTATTAAAGCTCCGTTAATATAAAGCGTTGAAAGTCAGGTGGCGCGGTTTAAGGACGAACCAGGTCCTTTAAGGCACTAGCGGCTTGCCAGTCGGATGTGTCCAACATCCATTTAAAACAATCTGTCAGTATAGCGATTGCATTACCGTTACTCAGCGGTGATCGACTTGATGGCGGCCTCCAACTCGGCTAACTCATTCAGCTGATTCTCATACTCTTCGGCGCTGAGTGCGGAGCAATTGGTGCGCATGCTGAGGTCGGTTTTGCGACACAACTCCGATACTTTTGGCGACAATTCTTCGTCGATTTGCTTCTCGGTGGTGATGATTACCTTGCCCGACGTAGAGGGGTGGAAGAAGCGACGCAGCAGTTTGTAAGCCTTCCGCAGTGCCTTACGTGGTGTATAGTGTGGCTTGGAGATGCTTTGCTCAGCCGCAGTGCAGGAGTTTACGAGTGTAGTATAAGACATTGTTAGTTTTTTTAAATTTACGTATTTTTCAAGTGAAATAAAATTTGGTTTTGAAATCTTCAAATGGTCTCGGTTTTTCTACGCTTGTTTGCTGTGCTACGAATGATGTCCTGTCGCTCTCGACGCCGGCTATTTATACTTTTGCGCATGCACAAAACAACCCCTATTTGCGCTATGAGCATAACGCATGCGCTGACCAATCGGCTGGCGTATTCACGCAGGTGCAACTTCTGCTCGACTTTGCTGGTGCTCTTTGCTATACCTGCGCTCTACCTGCAGTGGCTTCTCCCAAACACTGCGTTGCGCACAATTAGTGTATTTATTAAGGTGTCGCATCGTCGTAGCTATTCCTGTTCTCTGCCGCATTTCTGTATCTGTGTTGTTTTCTTTGTTTATTTGATTTGATTTGGGGATTTTTGGAAAACTGTGCGATCCCTTGCACGTGTGCAAACGGTTTTTCCTGGTTGCTAGTGCTTGTGTGCGTCGCTCCCCCTCCGCGCTCTACCTGCCGTGTCAAAGAATAAATAATGCCCTTTAAATGCATATCCTTTTTTTGCCTAAGCGTATCGGCTATTTACTATGCTGATCGTGGGAAAGTAAAATAAATTTTTGGATTCCTTGCATTTTCATAAATCTTTTGTTTGATTGTTTGCTACACTATTTGTATTTCACTTGAAGGTAATTTGAGTTGCGTTTTTCTGCATTCTCATTCAAAGCAAGCAGGCAAATATGAAAATTAAAATACTGATCGCTGCCGATCGTCAGTGTAGATCGGCCATTTGATCGCTACTTTTGACAATGCTCGTGGTGGTATTCTCCGCTCAACGGCCGCTACATTTTGTTGTTGCTTTTTTGAGCGAATCGTGCTTGCTCATCGAAGTGCATTGAATTGCTGGGAAAACTGCGTGCAGTGATCGTGGCATTGATCAAAAGTCCTCTTAGAAAATACACTTATGAAAATTGTAGGCAGGACAAGTGTTATACCCTCGTTAAACATATGTTGCACTTTCTTATTTTGATGATTTTGGAGGTGATCTTTTTATATCCGAAATTGTATTTCATTGTTTGTATATATAGCTAGCTTGCTTGCGGCTCGGCGCACTGTTCGCTGCGTGGCAATTGTAGATATTGTGGCCTGAGTTGGTGTGGTGAATGCGCTGGAATTTAATTATGATTTTTTATTACTTTGTAATCACAATTTCGAATTGCTTATGTATGTTAATGACTCACACATAGATTTGTAATAATTAAAAGAAAATTTAAAACAAATTTAAAATATGTGTTGTGGCTCATAACCTCAGTATAACGAAAGGTGGCGAAGGAAACTTTTTAAAGTAGAGGACGTGTTTGGGTACTTGGGGCTAACTGCAAGTGTCACTTAGTAACTGAGTGATCATGAGAATTTTCATGCTACACTTAACTCATACTACGACAGACTATGCAATGAAATTTTAAAGAAAATCAGAATGGGAGATATTGTGTCTGAGCATTTAATTTTTTGAAGTAAATTTAGGATCGATAAGACCAGGGAATATAGCAAGAGGTCAACCTCAGAAAGTTTCGACCGGTAGTACACTTATGTTTTGAAACCTTCTATCGAGCTGCTTCTGTAATGAGATAAATCTTTTTAAGAGTGGAGGAAAACTGATCTCAAATGTAAATACTGATTCACAGGTTGTGATCGTCGAGAAGACAGTGTGGGTTTTTGATTGGTGGCATAAAAGCCTCAGTCAAAAGCTGTCAGTACTTTTGATACTCTATAAGCGATTTTTCATGTTTAAAAAATGAAGATAGGAATCCTGGGTAGTAATCATAATACCAGAGCGTTCCAAATTGTCTTCTTTCAGCCACGCTTCTAACGCAAGCCAGCCGCATGTATGCCCTCACTACAGTAAATATATATCTACATATAGGCGTATGATGCTGAGAAGCCTGGGAAAATAATTTCAATTACACCTGGGCCAAGACGGCTACAAATGAATGAGATGAATGAATAAGTGTTGAATAAAAGAACAATTTGGTGACGAATTTATTTTTCTTCACTCTTACGAAATGTTGTGGCGGCCTTTTTTTTCCCACACATTAGAAACCAAAAGATGTTTGGCTTACACTCAGCACTGTTGGTACAATTATTAATAGAATTTCCCTAGCAGTTGAGTGGTAGTGGCATCAGAGCGGCAAACAAAAGAACGAATAACTGCTATGTATAATTCGTAGAGTTTGGCATAATTATAAGAAAGTATAGTAACAAGCTGTTATAGCACATTAAGAAAGTTTATTAAGATACATACTTGTATAATATTTCTATAAACTCTTATTTAAGTTTAGGTTAAGTGTTTTCTGAATAAAAATCATACCAACTGTTTTAAACTTTGTCCAATTTGTTTTAATGGTTCATAAGGATTTGTAGTGTCTGTTAATCTAGCTGAAAGTTAGCATTCGATCATAGAAATTTTATTATTTGAACCCAAAATCAATACAGTTAAGCAATCTGAGCATTTCAAAACTTTGTTACTTTTGCAAACACAAAAACTATTTTCCTTATCGTTTTTCATCAGCTACTAAAGTTTTTTTTATCTTTAGCTAGTCTCTTAAGTAGTTGCTTACACTCAATATCAATTCTGTTACTAGGTAAATAGAATCTTTAGGAAATAATTCAATACTCAATTGCTTGCAATATCGCACATATGTGCGGTATACTGTCACATATGGCCCCTAGCTGATAATACTACGTGGACATTAGTTGAACCTACTGATAACCTTTTATTTCCTTATCAGGCAATGAGTATGTTTTGAATTATCTTTTTTTGTAAGCATTTTTTGACGTAATCAGATTACTTTAAAAAAATAAAAATAAAATAAAAAAATAAACTATTTTTAACTGACAAATTCTTATTGATAAGGATTGAATACCATGTATAAACCATGCAGACTGAAATCGTTTTTACGAAGGAGTATAAGCATTTTTATTTTATGACACTACATGTTTGTTGTCACCAAATTTTAATAAACTGGTAATAGTTCTTGCATTACAAAGCGTATTTTTGAAAAAATAGTAATAATTCATGTTTTCGAACATCAGAGTATAGAATACAAAAATGAGTATAGTCAGCTCTTATCATCCATCTTATGAAGTAAATAATATGTCAAATTTGCAATTGCAGTTGAAGACAGTTTAAAAGCTCAATCTGTTTTTTTATTTTTAAAAAATGAATGTCCAAATTATCTGCTTCTTTTCTCTGAGTCTTACATCCATCTTCGAAAATATCAGCTTTCTGATGTAATGTGCGAAATATTTCAATCTATGTTGTTAGTATTATGTTACGTTGCATGCAACACATATGTCTTAACCTCATATGTATAGCTACAACTTAGTGTGGTTAACATATTGTGCTCGTATTTCGTACAAAAATATTTTTCTCTAAAATTTTTGCATTTTCTATCTTTAATTTATACACTTAACCTTTCAATTATTCACTGATCACAAGGCTGACTTACGCATGCGCACTCAGCGCTCAAGTGGTTATCACACATGTTAAGATATATATGTGTGCATTTGTATAAATGAGCACATGTGATGGCAATTGATGGTATTTGCTGGCATCGTCCTGCTGACAGCCTGTGGTGTTGCAGGGTGGCGCTATTTTTAGCCGCCCACTGCTGTTCGACAAACGAGCATATATTCATTTATAATAGTTCCGTATAAGATGTTCGATATTGACCGTTTTCAATTTAGTCATGTGACCACTTATGTATAACATTTAACAAAAAACACAGAAATGTGTGGTATATCTACATATGTTAGGCATGCGCTTAGCAAATGTTACACGCATGCGGCGTTACTTTGGCGGATTCTTTAGTTAATGGAGTGCAATAGATTTAGTCGTTCGACCATTTTTATGTAATATGCTACTTTAAGAAATATTTACAATCAAATTATGGCACAATTGTGTTTGAGTGGCAAAACAAATTTTCTGTAAGTTTTCCGTGTACTCTTTATTATTTATATACCGTTGTGGTATGTTGGCTATTTTTGTTGTTGGTTCGATAAGAACAGGAACCACAAAACATTAAACAACGTCGAAGTTTTAAACTATTTTTTATACAAAGAGATGGTGTCGGATGGAGAAGCTGTTTACACTAAGGAACAGATTTTCGAAAACCATTTAACCGGTCAGTTAACAAGCCATAAATAGAAATTGATATTCATATAAGTGCCTGATATGGTTATGTATAAGTTCTTGTAACAAGAAATCTTAATGTATAAGTTCTTGTAACAAGAAATCATTTATGTCCAATAAATAGCTTTAGTAATCTGTATCTGGCGTTGTATAAATATAATCGGGTTAGAAAGATACAATTTCGTATAAAAACAACTTCGCAGACAGTTTCGTGATTTCTTTACTCAATATCGTTGAATTTTGAACTTACATAGTGTTTCGAAAACCGCTATTCACTTCGGAGCAGATATTCATCCTTTCATAAAGACCAAAAGTCAAGTTGGCACTCACTATAGAGAAGTTGAGGAATTTACGAGTCTATCTACATACAAAATCCCGCTACGTCTTTAGTCGACACCTTATTTCAAATAATATTGAGTTTCCGTTTAAATGGCGCATAGTGATTCATATAGATGTTTATAAAAACTAATACTCTAATACTCTTTTATATAAAAATAAAATAACTAAGAATATAAGGTTCATAGAAAATGATGTCAGTGATTAAGATGCAAGTAAGCGAAGTTAATTTATAGTTAAAGCTAAAAATACCAAGTTGCCATTAATACTAGAAAAAACAACGACAACACTTGCAATCGCTGTGTTAAGAACTGCATTATCGCTAAACTTAACCTTTCTCCTCTCAAAATGTCTCTTCGTTTCTTTTTTCGGCTTGCCAATCGATTTGCGCTCGCTTAGTTGGCCCTTCTCCTCGAGGTTAACTAATGTTTTATTGCCATGCCTTGAAGCGATTTTATGGCTTAACCACTCGTATATAAGTTTAAAAAAGTGACAATGCGGCTTTTACAGCAGCAGTGAAAATGTGAAACCTGTTTTACGCCGTGAGGATTATAAAAACACAAAAACAACTGTAGCATTATTGCAACAA